GAATAGTTAAAAGTATTTCTTTCATAAAATTTCTACTAGCATTAACGTTGGTTATGAATTTCTATATTAAATGAGAAACGAGAAACGCTTTGTAAATAGTGTGGCAAACTATCTCTATCCTTAGAAAGTATATGCATCGTAAAACGATACAGATTACAGTATTCTATTCATAAACTACAATACTGAAAGTAACTGTGTAATTTGACATTAGGAACTCATGGTATAGATAAAGGAATCGTAAGTGAAGTTTAAGAATTGCAGCTACTTCAGAATTTTTGACTTCTTATTTTGCTGTTTCGCCTCAATCTATATTAAAAATAATAGCCATATATTTATAAGAAGTCATAATAAAATAATCTTCAGTCACTACTCAATAGCTCCGTAGATAATGAGTCTGAGAATTGTGCTTTAAAGATCATAATAATATAAAATTTACATTTGTTTTATACGAAGTTAATTTGAAAGAATGTTTGGTGAAAGCTCGGAATTCGTGTGCCACACACACACGCGCCTCGGATATTAAATACTTAGAAACATTTGGGGGTTACACGAAATGTATTAAGGAAAAATAACAATAACAATAAAATTTGACTTTATGTTGGTAACTCCTGAATAAGTATAATTCTACTATATAAATTTATGTCACCGAACTCCTTCTAAAGGGCTAGATCGATTCGAATTTTTGTATGCATTTTGTTTCAGCCAAATGGTTTACTCATAAAAGCAGCTCGATAGACGGCGCTGCAATATGTATCTAGATTATTTTAAATTAAAAGGCTGGAACATAGATTATTGCTATATGTATTGTAGTAACACACTATACATTTGCCTCTGAGTGCAACCATGAATGCATGCGGACGGAGTAGCGGGAAAACTACAAGTATATAAGTATATGTATGTTTGTATATGTATATCCATACAATTTATTTACATGGCTTATTTAAGTATTACGCTGTCAAATTCATCAATCAAGCAATAATTTTCTCAGACAAATAAAAGCAAAGATACAGAAATTATTTATTATTATTTACAGAACAAAAAGTTCAGATACTTTTCCTCCAAAATTCCTTTTTTCTAATAAATCATTTGTATAGTTATACCCGGAATCGAACTCAAGAACGTGTATTTTAAAATTATATTTAATTTTTGTCTTTATCTTCAATATCAATTTACCTAGAACAAAGTTACATAACAATTCTTATACATGATAAATTCAAGGAAAATCATGTACATATTTTAATACAATTTTATTTCCATTAACCAACTATATATTACATATCGATCTTTATATAAATTATTATCACCTTAGTACTCGTTAATAATGTAGACAGAATTAGGAATTCGAAAAATACTATATTTCGAGCCTTCAGCGAAATGATTACTTGAAGATAGATAACATGGTAATACTAGATTATAATTAAATACATAAATTATAGGTCTTTTGATCAATAAACTGCTTTAATACTGTAATGTGTGAAGATTTATGAATAAAAAACTATTAACGCTACGTATATAGTGACGATGCAAACTTGTACTAAGCATACAGTTAGTACCAGTATGATGCTTATGCTCTGTTCATGTAACGCAAAATACAAAACTAATTTATGTACGAACGAAACTAAGTTTTTCATATATTCTGATTTTTTTATTATTTTATAACTATATTATCCAAACAATTTGTTCCTTTAGAGTCTCCATGAGATAAAACGCGGGAAAATCTTAGATATCATTAAATGTAGGAACGCTACGTAACTCTTAATACAAGGATATATCCCTACTAATATTATAAATGCGAAAGTAACTCTGTCTGTCTGTCTGTCTGTTACGCTTTCACGCCTAAACCACTGAACTGATTTTAATGAAATTTGGTACATATATAGAGTTGACCTTGAGAAAGAACATAGGATAGTTTTTATCACAAACTTTTGAAAGCATCTCTGGGAAACGCGATATAACCGAACTCCATGCGGGCGAAGCTGCGGGCGGAAAGTTAGTAAAATATATTGTGAGAAGAAACCTTTCAACCGCTGTCAAGTGTCAATGACCTTTACATCGCTTTAAAGATTAAACGACAAAGCTGCAATATAACTTATTAATAAATGCAATTATTAATTGATTAATTATAAATACTACTTATTTTGTATTAATCATGTTTATTGATTTAAATCTCCGATACCAAAACATAGAATTCTAATTCTAAAACTTACCACCAGTCGGAATGATCAGACGAAATACTTACAGTTTCCAGTTTCTCAAAAGCAAATCTAAGTTGTTACTATCACGTGTGGATATTTACGAACGACAAATTACAAAGTGATTGTATTTAAAACTCGTACTAAAGTTACTTTAGAGTGTAACACAAGAAACGCATTTTAACACTGAAATAATTAAATATACGAAAATTATGTTATAAAATACATATGTTGTAATAAATTAAACCGAATTTAATTAATTTATACAGTAGTAGTAGTTGTACAGCAGTAGTTGTAGTATGATTCACAATTATTTGAACATTTAAACAAAGTTTTTCCTATTCTATATGTATATGTATAACATAATATATATGACTAGCTTTCCGCCCGCAGCTTCGCCCGCGTGGAGTTCGGTTATATCGCGTTTCCAAGAGAACCTTTCAAAAGTCTGGGATAAAATCTATCCTATGTTCTTTCTCAAGGTCAACTCTATGTCTGGACCAAATTTCATTAAAATCAGTTGAGTGGCTTAGTCGTGAAAGCGTAACAAACAGACAGACAGAGTTACTTTCGCATTTATAATATTAGTAGGGATAAAATTATATTTTCGTAAATCTATTGAGTTTTAGTCAATATTTTCAAAGAATTATATAGATTGGAACTGCACAATATCAGTAATCATAGAAAAAAGCTAATAAAACATCAGTTTTAAGCCACATCTATAATTCCCTACATCATTGTTAATTTTTATACATACAAAATATTTTAAATAAATTTGATTTTATAAGCGGATAATAATACGCTTAGTAAAGGTACTCATCAACTTAATGTTTAAAAGTTGGCACTATCAAACTACATAAAGAACGTTACAATATTATCATAGTTTATTTAATGATAAACGAAAAATGGTTTGTAAGCACGATGCAACATGGTAAGCATATTTAAAACGGATCCTTATATATCCCTACTAATATTATAAATGCGAAAGTAACTCTGTCTGCCTGTTACGCTTTCACGCCTAAACCACTGAACTGATTATAATGAAATTTGGTACAGAGATAGAGTTGACCTTGAGAAAGAACATAGGATAGATTTTATCCCAGACTTTTGAAAGGTTCTCTTGGAAACGCGTTATAACCGAACTCAACGCGGGCGAAGCTGCGGGCGGTAAGCTAGTATGGTTATAATTAAGAATTTGATATGATACGAATTTTATCGAAGGTCACACATTACGGTTACTAGAAAAAAATATTTAGACTTGAAAAAATCCTTCATTTTTACATGTCAGCATATAGGATGTATAACATGAAATTAATCCCTTATTTGACAACAGACGAAGAAATACGACATCACTAGTGAAAACAATTTAATTGGGTCGTCACAATCAATTAACGAGAATTGCATCGCTGAAGAACAATCTCGTGTTGCACAATCATTGTCAACTTGGACAAAGGAAACAGATTATTAATTACCATAAAAAAATAAACAAAAACATCTGAATAGATGAAAGCAAGGATTAATAATATTAGTTAAAAATAGACATGAACGCGGTTCAAAACTGAATTAAATGTAATACATATACTTTATAAAAGGGTAACTCCCTTTTGGTAACTCAAGAACGGCTGAAGGAATTTGGCTAAAAATTTGGCGGGGAAGTAGTTTAGACATAAGATACTTTTCATTCCGTTCGATAGAAAATGAAATCCAAAATCTTAATATTTACTGCCTCGAAAGTGCAATAAGGCTAGCCCGCTTCGGTTTTTTAATTCTAAAACTATGCAGACGAAGTTGCGGGTAAAAAATAGTATATAAATCTAACACACATACATCGCAAAACCATATAAACGGTTTTCCTCACTATTATATAACCAATATAATTTAAATAGCATTACTTGTAATGTTACATACAATTCCCACACTAATCAATTCTAGTACAATAATAAAACAATCGTTTAAGGCTCACTAAATAGTAATAAAATGGATTGTGGTCATCTGTATGCAGAATTATGAAACAAAATTTAACTTTTAATATAAAAAAACATATCCTTTTCAAAGTCAATACATAAAAAGCGCGTTTTGAAAATCGAACGCTTTAATAATAGCTTAAGTAATAAGTACTAAGATTTTTTATTTTTTTTAATCCAACATAAAACCAGCCAGTTTTTTTTTTGTAATAAATATAAACGTGAAATAATATATATTTTTTTAAATTATCATTCCATATTTTTAAAAAAGCAACGATTTATATTACACAGCCAAATTACTGTTTACGTCCAATCTCTACATGACATCCAGATACTTTAACACGATCGCGTGAATTCTACCAAGTCATTTTTGTTGCGGGCACAATTTACTTAAATAATACCTATTAGCATCCGGTTACCTTGAAGTGATTACTTTTAATACGATCGTCACTAGATGATGGCGATATGTTTTATTATTTAAAACTTATGTATAATAATTATGCAAGTGATCGGTAGAATAAGAAAAACGTGCATAGTGTAATCAAGCAGTGTGTTTCATCCTAAAATCTATTCTAAATTTTATTTATTTGCTCATTATAAGCTCTAAATAAGTGAAAACTAAATATCACAAATTATTAAATATTTTAACGACGTGAATTTATGATAAAATATCACACACATTAAAAACGAATCGTGAATTAATATATAAATAAATATTAAAATAATAAAAATAAATGCATATAATTGAAAATAAAAATTGCGTAATATTAACAACATCATAAATATTAAATAAAATTATATAAAAACTAGCGTGAAATATGTTTTCAAATAGTAAATTCCAAACCTGTTCTCTGTAGCAAGGCTGCTGTGTTGTCGCTAGCCATTTTAATTAAGAACTACCAAACATATGCTTCGTATATACGGATTCCGTTCAACAAATAATATTAAACTTGTACTATATTATCATAACCAGGCTTGACGAATCAATTCACCAATAACTTGATTATTCAATAACATTCACTCGTAGCCCACTGGACTAAAACATATTTGCCTTTTAACAGTCTGCTAGTTACGATTAATCAAGATTAATAAAAGGTGCAGAGAATGCGGAGTTATTGAATATTTTAACACTATACCACGATCGTTCATATTTTATTAGAATATTAATTAATAATTAATAGTGTAATTTAAAGTATATAAATTATTACCTTTCTTACCTTTTTATATCAATTTATTTGACCTTTCCCAAAATTAGCATGGAAGTCATGGTTTCACTTGTTATAAAAATGATTCGCCCTAATTGACCACTAGCATTTATCTTTACTTTAAAATAACAATAATGTACTTATACGATCACTGACTTACCGGGCGCTTACCCGAACAGCCACAGACTCGAAAAATCAGTATGTCCTACAAACTAGCGCCACAGTGTAAAAATCAAATGTGATATTTGCTTACAGAATAGGTAAACATTGTAATTCCATTGACTGAGGTATAGACTACAATATATTTAAGTGATAAATAAACTTATTTTTAATTCCAGTTTAATATATCTGTTTTTAATAATAATATGTTTTAAATTACTTTCACAAATATTTTACGGTACACGGTACGGTAAACAAGGTAATTTCACGTTTAGTTAATTTTATTATTACTATCATTTTAATAATTACCTGTTACATAACATATATTTGCTATTTCATGAATTTCTATTTTGATATAAACAGAAAGCAATTATATTAATGACACAACTTAAATTAAAATATTTTCAAATTATGTCATACAAAGAAATCATTTACTAATATGTAACGAAATATCATCAAACCATAAGATATGCTTTTATGTCAGTAATTTACATTTAATCTAAATAAATTATTTGGTTTAAAAATATTAAATATTAAAATATAATATTGTGAATAATATATATTTTTAAACTGAGTTGTAGAATGATTATATGCTTGAAGGAATAGATCATAGTGACATCTGACAGTATTTATTGTTTGTTGCGCAATACAAAAAGTCAATACTGTGAAAAAGTCACCGCTCCCAAACAAACTTCTAGAACTAATCAAAAAATTAAATCTCAGAGTTCTCAAAAATGTCAAACACCTTCATGGATAGGGTCCGCTCGTTTTTCGGATTTGAATCAAATTCTCCAAGGAATGACTTTCGAAATCCTATCTGGGGTTCAGACGACGATGACGATGGAGACGAACTTTACACGAAAAATCCAATGGACATTTACAAGGATCCGGTGGACTTGCACCGTGAGTTCTCTAGACAAATGCAAGATGTGTTAAAAAATTTGGGATCGATATTCGGTGACATCGGCTCATTTTTCGGCCCCGGCGACATGGAATCGTTCGGCACCATGACAGACCTACCGATTCCGGATCCGGAAACAGATAAATTTGACAGCAACCGCATCAGAGATTACTATTTAAAACCCGGTTACCATGACTATAAATATGAGCAACCGAAACTGGACAATGATTTGGATGGGAAGATATCTTCTAACGAGATATCCGGACTCTTGCAAAAGAAAGATGAAGGTCAGATAGTTCCACAGACGCCTTTCAACGGATCTCTTGTTCCTGGCAGACCGTTTTGTCAAACAATCATTACAACAAGTGTAACAAAAGCCGACGGTACAGTTGAAACTCGTAGGATCATTAAAAATGGCAACGAAGTCATTGAAGAAACGACAACGTCTACCGAACCAGATTCAAGAGGACCCTTCAACCCTATGCTAAGCCCTATCGACACTACCAACTTCATGTTCTCAACACTTTCATCACTATTAAAGAACTTTTACTAATTTTAACATTATTTGTAGTAACCAATTAGAGGTTTTAATGCTATTTATTTAAAAATAACATGTGATAGGCAGTTTTTAATTATGATGATAATGAAATATTTATTTCACATCACTCAAGTTCCATTGTCCATAATGATTTAGTAAGTTGAATTCCATATTGTCATAATAATAGAATCAAGATGATCCTGTAGATTCATAAATATCATTATGTATGGAATAATTAAATAATGAATAAAAATACATAAACATTGCAATGTTTATTTCATTGTTATTCCTTTAATATTTCAATTATAATAAGTTTATTAAGAACTAAACATATTATGTGTGTCATCTTAATTTAAGGCAAAAAAAGTTACATGAAAACTTTGTTGTTGAATCAACTGGAATATGGATTTAATATTTGTCTCTCTCTTTTTCATTTCAAGTTATCGCATATAGAAGAAACAATTTTTTTATATTTTTAATATTCACAAATAATTTTTTATTTCATCAGATACAAAGTACAGTGTAAAAATATATAAAAGAAGAGGCAAGACTTAACAAATTACTCTACGGAAAAAATTGTGTGATCCTTAACTTTTTGTAATAAGTAAAAAATAAAGAAAATATTCTTTAAAATTAATGGTAATAACTATAAATAATTGAGCCAATATTATAATTTATATTTATCCTAAAAATAAATAAGATAAGAAAAACAATACTAAGTCTCAGTGCCAAATTATTTGTAGTTGTACAGTGTACTACTAGGCACTCCTTCCAAATATAAAAATTTAGCATCAACTGTCAAAACTACTGTATTTAGCCTTCACAAAAAAAAAGTGGGACAAAGTAACAAATTTTAGAATTAATCTTACATGTACCAAGTTGATATTATTGAAACAATATTTTTCCTTTAAATAATTTTATTGTAATAATTTAGGCATAAATAAATATATTAAATATTTGTCTATGAGCAGTAGCAGGCGTCACGTGTGTTGCTCTTAATCCACGTCAAGTATCGGTTGACTCTAGAATACACTCCTGGCTTGTTGGGTCGGGCGCATCCTTCTCCCCACGACACTACACCTGGTGACGAAATAAATCTTTTAAAATCATGATAATGAATATTTTAATTTTTCGAATATCAAGCGGTCCTGTTTTTATTTTCTCCAAATTATACAATGGAAAAAAGCCTTTAAAAATGTTGAGTTTTAAATAATCTGAATATGAATTTAGGTGTAATAAAAATTATGAATTTAAGTTCTCATATAAATCAAGAGTAAATTTAAATGGAGTCGTAAGAACTCTTGGCTAGCTTAAAACAATACCTATAAAAGAATAGCTGATACCTATAGAATATAGTGCTACCTATATAATATACCTATAAAAGAATAGCTGATACCTATATAATAATGGTAAATCCTCACCCACTTACCCACAATACTATGTTTCCCAGTTCCCTCCTCAATCACGTGTAGTGGTCCCCCGGAGTCTCCCTGACACGCGTCCCGGCCTCCCTCCTGTTCGCCCGCACACAACATGTTATCTGTAATGCGGTTCTTGTAATCCGTCTTTCTGCACTCCTCATTAGATATGATTGGAACTTTCACCTGAAATAAGTATAAGTCCAGACTATAATTAAGGTGCTGGTCCATTTTTAAGGTGGTAAAGCCTGGCTGTGGCAAAATAACTCCAGTTCGAACATGGGCTGGCTTAACCGTGGAAGTACGACCCTCTCATAGAAGATCAGTGTGAAGTACCTAGTCTTTAATGGCTATGTTTCGTTTAATGAGTGAGAGAGCCGGTTGTCATTTCCCTGTTCCCACCATTTCCTACCATATTTTTATTCCCATCGGTCTCTATTCCTCAACAACCACGATTGGCAACAAGAGATGTTGTGGATGTAATTGAACAACGGTAACTACTGCCGATCATGTAGGCCGTCTGCTCGTTTGTCACCTTTCTCATATAATAATAATAATAATTTCGTCGTTAATATACGAAAGAAATATAGAGAAACAAAAACTCCTTACGGCCTGCAGTGTACTGGATACACTCCCTCCTTCTTCAGTGGTTCCCCAACCAGCTACTACGGCGGTCCGATTACTGTAGGAGTGTCCAGCGACGGGCAGACAGCCAGGTCGAATACCAACGTCATTTTCTTCTTCCGAGTCTTCACTTGCGCGCTTCAGAGCCGTGCTGAGGTCAATCTAGTTTGGTAAAATATGTTTTAGTAATTTAGTCTATTGTATGACAACTGTATTGACATCTGTAGATGTTACCACATTTAGGTAGTCGCCATAGGAAATATACGAATTTAAGATCAAAAGATCAAAAAACAATTAGGACTTCTGACTTTTACTAATAGAATGAGCTGTGTAAAATATATTTCAGAATGATTTTCACAAACTAAATATTTTGTGTATAGCTCCAAGATTTTCACTTATCGAACTTTTTCTCATATTTTTTTGGTTTTTTGTCGTAACCAGTAAGTTTTTTTTTATATCAAGGGGGAAGTAAATTAAAACTACGAAGAAGCAACTTACTCTCTGGTCAAGTTTCAAGATAGCGATGTCATTATCATAATTCCCAGGATTGTAACGCATGTGTCTGATAATGGCGGCTACTTTCCTGTCCACCGTTTTGGTCTCATTAGGAGTGGACCGATCGTGTTCCAGGAAACGAACTGACATTCTTTCTTTGCGGAATCTGAAAAACAATCATATAATAAATGATTAATATGTTGACGCCGTTATGAAAAGTTTTGAATAAGTTATTTCAGCGCCTTCCCAAAATTATGAAACTTTACAAATATAGCTCAACAAGCCAGTCTGCTTGTTTATAATATAAATGCATAATGAAAAAAGAACTTTTTAGTTAAGGGTCAGTGTAATGTTTTTTTTAACTTGTTCTAACCAAAAACTCTAAGAAATATAAAACAATATTAAGGAGTTCCATAGCTATAACCAATAAAATGTAATGTAGGTATATATCTTGTAAATTAATTTGAATTATATATGGTTAGCACTTAGCATCAAAACATTCGACATACCCCGAAGTGCAATGAGCAGCTGTAAGCACATACAAGTCGTTAATGAGTGAACCACCACAGTAGAACCTTCCGTTATACATGAGAGGCACTACCCAAGGCATCTCCAACTTCTTGGTCTCATAGCCACCGACGATGCGACGACGAGTTCTAGCTATACCACATTCTAAACGAAACAAATATTGAGAAAAATAGTTATAATAGCGCATCAAACTTTAATAAGATATGGACTATGACTGTTTGAAAAGAATATATGAACATCTTCGTATGAGATGTGACTTTGTTAATGTGTTTTGGATTCGTTTTTATAAGTGAATTTGTAAAGCATGAAGTAAACGCAGCCAACGCAGTCGGTAGTAAAGAATGCTTGGTATTTTGTCATAATTTTTTTTAATCTTAGTACATACATACTTATTTAAACATATGTATTTTACAAAATATTCACAAAAGTCTCTGAAAGCCAAAAATGCAATATTTTTAATAAAAAGGCTTCCATGATAACGTTATCATTATCTACGTAAGTAGATAATGATTAAATGCCTAATTATATTATTATATTAAATCAATTTAACACAATCATTGTTTATTTATAAGTGAATACGTTCTGAGTTCTATAAGTTACCAATTGGCAACTACCAAACACTATAAGAAGATATTTTTTACAAAGCTATCCTAAACATGATTTTGGATGATAAGATTACTATTAATATAAAAATGTTGCCATTAAGTTAATTAATATAGTTCAATTTTGAGACAGACTAATACATTATAAAACTCACGGCAAGTAGGACAAGTAGCAGGAGGATCATTGATAGGTCTGAAGGTTGTTGTCGAGGTGGTGCTGAGCCAACTGTTGATCCAATCTATGATCCCTTTCTCCTGACCCTGGGCGGCCAGCTTGCTGTCACTGTTAGTGTGGCCGCGACATATACTGACGCATGCTAGGAGTAAGAACCAACGCATCTTTCTGTGGAAAAAAAATTGCTGCTTTAGTTTAAGAAAGAAATATTTAAAACAGTAAAAAGATATATTTCTGTACTGATGAATCAATCGAGAATTGGCTCAAATATAGTTCGATTGTTGTTTGTTTCATATGCGTTATTTATTTTGATATAGGCGGTTTGGTTTTCACAGTACAATTGCTAATAGTGAAATTGAACCTTTGTGCCCCGTCTTACCCTAGAGGCTGACTATTTTTTTACATCAGAGGCGGCAAACGAGCAGACGGCCTATTTGATGTATGTACATCTGCAACTTAAGGGATGTTGCGAACGCGTTGCCAACCCTGATTGTGGGCGAGGGAGAGGAAAGGGCAGGAAAAGGTAACCGGCTCTCTCAGTCATCGAACGAAACCTAGCCATTAAAGACTACTTCACGCCGATCTTCTGTGAGAGGGTGGTACTTCTCCGGTCGAGCCAGCCCATGTTCGAGCTGTAGTAACTTGACCACAGCTAGGCTCTACCACCTCATTTTTTAAAAAAAAGTTATATTTAAAGCTATATAAATAGTAATATGCAGATTAAAACATTTAAATAACTTTAAGAGACTATCAACATAAATAAAAAGATAAGCTCTTACGTACTGTGATATACTGTGTTTTGTTTTAATTAACCTCAGCCTCACCATTGATGACTTGATGCTTGATAGTTATGTCTAATTATTTCAAAAAAAGGAATTGTATAAATATATAAGGTTCTATCCTGAATTACAATTTGTAAAAACGTTCGAAAAATAATATTAATCAAAACTCAATTAAAGTACTGACGTGTGTCTTCTTCTTCTTCTTCTACCTGGCAATTTTCCAGGTTTAGCCAGGGTCTGCCTTACATATTTTGAATAGTTTTGGCTATTTGTTTTTACGACCGGCCGCCTGTCTGACATCAACCCTCTTTGGGAATCAGCATTAATCAGTGATGTCTAAATATTCTTGGAAAGTAGATATGACTCGGGAAAATCACATTGGTACTTGCCCGGGCCAAGATCGAACCCGCGCCCTCATACATGAGAGGCGGGCCTTTTAACCATTAGGCCACCACTGACTCAAAACTACTGACTTATGTGTTAATGAGAAACTGGTTTTATTGTATATTTAATATTCTTTTACGTTAAATATTACTCCCTAAAACATTAAATCCCTACTAATATTATAAATGCGAAAGTAACTCTGTCTGTCTGTCTGTCTGTCTGTCTGCTACGCTTTCACGCCTAAACCACTGAACTGATTTTAATGAAATTCGGTACAGAGATAGAGTTGACCTTGAGAAAGAACATAGGATAGTTTTTATCCCAGACTTTTGAAAGGTTCTCTTGGAAACGCGATATAACCGAACTCCACGCGGCGAAGCTGCGGGCGGAAAGCTAGTTGCTTATAAGTCTGAAAAGCTTACACTCTTGAAATGTCAGTTGCATGAATATTATTTTTTTAGTTACCTTACTTTGATTGATTGACTGATTCAACCGCGAAAGCGAAATGAATCTTAATAATTTAAAAAAATCCATTATAACCGGCCTGAAAGAGCTAAGGACCACGAACCAGGTCAAAGCTAAAGTCAAGATCAGATTAATTCAAAGGGTAATTCTATCAAAAACATTTTCTCCCTTTCTATTCACAAAGTTTGGGGCTGGTTCTTTTCAAATATAATCTTGGTAAGGCTTATACATATGTGTTATAGTTTTTAAATAATCAGAAAAACATTTCAATTACATTTATTTAGTGACAACTTTTCTGTATAATATTATTTTATTTTTAACCATAACCACGTAACGTTAAAAGTTTAGTGCATTGACGTTATAAAGAATTAATCTTTATTTTTAATTTTCATTAAATAACCGGTAAACAGATGAAATAGAAAACCGTTAATTCTAAAAGCAGTGTAAGCCTTAGTTAAATCTATTATTTTTTTTATACAAGATCCTTTTAATCTATACAAAAGTATAGGTTATCAATTGAAAAGAAAGTTTAAAAACAATATTATTTAAACAGCCCTCATTATAAAGTGACGAAGATGCAAAATAAGTTCGCAAGAGTTAAATCAAGGACACATAAAACCGGTAAAAACCAGTATTGTGTACCGTTATATCGATCACAAATAACTAATACCATGACATGTTTTTATTGAATTAATCGATTAAAATTATCATTAATTAATAAAATAATCGATACTTTAGAGTCATTTGAATACTTAAAAATGATATATTTTTTATAAATGCGTTTTATATTAAATAAAACGGGATATTTCCATATGAAATTTAAAAAATATTGAACAACTACCTACATATAAATTTCTTTAAAAACAAATAGATATTAACATTTAATACGAAGACTTCTCAATGAGAATAAAATGTATGTTTATGTTTGGAAAAGTAGAGAATGTTATTTTATTCAAGCCTACTTAGAACTGTAAATGCAATATTTATATATAGTGTCTATACCCACATTATTTGAATGACTTTTCAATTGACTTGAACCTTTGCCAAAGTCAATTTATATTCCAAACTAATCCCGATTGTTCTAAGAAAACATAAACATGGTTCCTGGTATACATAAGGAAAATAGTTAACAGAAAATATATGTATTTTATTTTAATTTATTTAGTCAAAAGTGATAAAAATCCTAAAATTTTAAGATTTATAAAATGTCATAGATAATTTTTTTCTCATAAATATTTAAAAGAAAAAATCTATTTGTAATACTGGCCGTTTTTGTTGAAATTTTATTCCAAATTAAAAAAAAAAATAAAAAAAAAAACACGTGATTGCTATCACACAGTCACGTTTTGCTTGTTATGCTAGACACACTGCTGCTTCTAGTAGAGAGTTTAAATGTTTCCCGTTCCTATATAAAATGCGATAGAAAGTTCCAATATATTATTGTTATATAAAAATATTATTAAAGTCTAAAACTTAATTAATAATTTAATATTATCCGCAAACATTATGTATAAAAATATAATCTCTATAATTTAAATTTCGATAGTATTTTCTGCACAAAAAATACATACGACTAAACCAAAACATAAAATTATATCAACGTCATCTAACATAAAAACACTCACAAATTAAATCCAAATTAATTGAATATTCCTACAAAATTATTATCACTTATCACAGATAAAAAAAATAAACTCACGCCCACAAGTCGGCCCCGTGTTGTTAAAGGAAGACGAGTGTCCACTGTCCACTGTCAAACAAACAGTTCTTAGATGGAAAGAGATAGAGATATCTCCGCTTTCACTCTGATTGCTCTACTTTGGATCCTGCCAGAAATGCCTCTGCCTGCATCAGGTCGCCACATCCCGTTTTATGCCTGCTTAGCAATAAATTCCACAACAGTTACAAGGTAATTTCGTCGGAATTATTATCACTTAATGCTGTTATTACCATTTTTTCCTCTGATGTGGGACTCTAATCTCTGATGACATGCAATACTAAATCACTTTAAACGTTAAATATTAATTGAGATTTATATAATCTGTATCTATATTATAATGCAAGTAATTTCTAGACGATTTTCAGTTCTTATAACGAATTAAAAGTTTCAGAACGTTATCAATATTACAGGAAATATTCATACTATTTATATTGTTAATTTTATGTTGTTTTTGATGTTATATTTTTAGAAATTCGAGTCGAACTTAAATTAACACTATTACTAGTCCCTGTAAAAAGATTTTATGTATCAATTTTTAACCAGCATGGCTTTAGCACCACTTACAAAGTCAATCGAAAACCATTCTAACATAAATACATCTTAGGAAATGCATCTTTAAACACATAAATGGATTCAAAACTTTAAAATTTCAATAATAATTCTGTGGAATGCAAACGTGTGGTAAGGATATGAAACTGGTCTCTTGCTTTAGCCAAAAACACAAATTATTTTATATGTATGTCAGAAAAACCAGAATTTACAAAAATATAGAACTATATATTATCCTTAAGATACGAATAACTTTCTTTTAATGATATGGCTTCATACTCACTGGAATTGTGAAATATTTTGATGATTTAAACGTTTTTATTTGTTGGAAGAATTATAATCTTGAGTACTATAAGATATGGCTAACTTAATACGTACATACATTACATTAGACTTTAGAGGAAGAAATATCGATGGGTCCTGTGTATAAGGGCCAATGTAGCAATTTTATTTATTTATTTATTTTCCTTTAAACACCTCATAATACTAAATTCTACAACATTCATTTAAAAATACGTATTTGTTGGTGGAAAGATATTAAAATTTAATTAATTTTATCGTAGTAATAGGGCATAAGTAACACTTTTTAACGTTTAAGCGCTTGTATGCATTATTTTAAAAACTAGTAAAAAAGTTTATCGTTCTTAAATGAAGACATGTATGTCATAGTTGCTATGACAAAAGTTAAGTTTCAAAAGCATCAGTTGTCGCATGTACAAGATACATTAAATGAAACTTAAAACGCCTCTTCTGAAATATTAACATTTTGCACATATTATATATCTCTGACAATCCCTACTAATATTATAAATGCGAAAGTAACTCTGTCTGTCTGTTACGCTTTCACGCCTAAACCACTAAACTGATTTTAATGAAATTTGGTACAGAAATAGAGTTGACCTTGAGAAAGAACATAGGATAGTTTTTATCCCAGACTTTTGAAAGGTTCTCTTGGAAACGCGATATAACCGAACTCCACGCGGGCGAAGCTGCGGGTGGAAAGCTAGTAAGTATATTAATGGTTTATATGGGATTTCTTTGTTTTATATTTTTATATAACTCTCCTGTAAGCGATAGTTATAAAGAAAGTATGAGATTTTTTAAACAACAATTCATAAATGTATTAGTTTATCACCATTTTAAAATAGTTTTTCAAATAAATATCAGCGAAATATATTGTTAACTAAAATAGTATTGGAAGAATAAAATATATTTAGTTTCAGTGATTCTTTCTTATTTACCAAATTACTTATCAACTTTGTTG